TCTTCTTTTGATATCCAAATTGAACAAAACGAAATATCTGAATAGCTGAATACCTACTTAAAAAACTGACTCCAGTTTCAAAATAATGGTATGTGATCTAAACATAACTACAATTTTGCTCGTGAACTAACATCAGAACTACAAAAACCACTGTTTTATGAGAGTATTCGCTTTCTTAAAGAGTTGCTGAATACTTTGATGAACGCACCTATAGTATTTTCATACTGTTAGCAAATTTTCGTTCATCACAATCAAATTTGATGTAGTTTCAAGTAGCCTGCCAAGTACTGAATAAAAATTTATTCAATTCTAGTCTCTCTATCATTCATTTGTCAATTTTTATTTCTAAGGGATAACCATTTTTTTGTCTATAATTCCTAAGTATGTTTCCCAAAATGATTTTGCAGTGCTACATGCTTTTGCCTCACAAGAAGCTTGTATTCGACACTTGTCCTACTTTGACTATTTTCAAACATTTAAGGAGACTTTCTCGGTTCTTGAACTGGTAGGTTCTTCATTGTCTAGAATACCTCAATCACTTCAGTATTATTTTCTACTGTTGGGGATCATTCTACAATCTTCATTTCAAGTTATAATCAGTTTAATTCATTTCGTTACCCATCAAATACCACTACGATATATCGTATAATTTTCTGCAACAAATTGGAGCGAACTCAAAAATATCAAAAAGCATATCTAGTGAAATGAACGCGAACATATGGAATGAACAATCCAATAAAGTTGTATGTAACTCTGCGCCAGTGCATTTTAATTGGAGGCGGATTAGTGCATTATCTCCTCACGTTACCAAATCATAGTGACCTGATATCTACATATGCTCACACGGAACCGTATCGAAATGATTTTTTAATGAAATTTCAGAATTTCAGCTTTGAAGTTTATAGAACTCGTAGATGGAAAAGTTGAAATTTCCATCAACTTCGTCGAAGTATGGGTTACCAGGAAAAATCGAATGTCATGGATCAAAACCACCAGAACGAGAGAGCATATATTTCCAGTTGCAAGAATGACCTAAAATACTAATTTTTTTCACATATCCTCTTTAGATACATTCTCTTTAGAGAATTCAATTAACGAGGCCCTATGGCAAATTTAGACCGATATCGATGTGTTATTATCTTTGTCAACTAAATATTGTCTATCTGTTAATGCATCTAAATCTAATGTCATGCTCTTTGATAGAACAGCGGCGAGAAATCGTTGTTCTAGCCTCATAAATATTACACATACGAAAGGGGGTAGTTCTTTGGCTTATTTCATAACTAAAAGTTCATATAAACATAGGTCCGCAAACGTTTCGTTACCGATTTACAGGGTGTTGAAATTACAAGATTTTTCTTGTCATTTCTTTGGAGCTCCTGCAGTTTTTGAGATATTGAGCTCAAATTTGGAATCTAGATTGCGTTATAGAGCATACATTAGTGGGTTTTGTCAGATGGTTGTTGATTCTACAAGGTGATATTTTTTCAGGAGTAATGTTCCATTTTCTCCCCCTGAACTTTTTTACTGTGCGCAGCTGGTAGATTCTAAAATAAAAAATGAATTTTCCGTTTCATTTGAAAACTTTTTTTGTTTAGAAACTCTTTTCGTTTCTGCGACCGTTATCGAGAAAAAAATTAAAGATTTTTTGTAGAAATGATTTATTTTACAATACAAAAACCTAAATAATAACAATTGAACTGCATTATAACAAATGTTGAAAGTGACCCCCTCCCACCCTCATACATGCGTCCGCTCTTCTTCTCATTGATGCCCGTACTCTTGCGAAGACTCCCGGAGTATTTCTTACAGTTTCAAATGCATTTATTATCCGATTTCGTGAGTCATCCACGTTATTCACTGGTGTTGTATACACTAGAGATTTGAGATATCCCCATAGGAAAAAATCTAGACTATTTAAATCAGGCGACCTAGGGGGCCATGATTGAGGTCCACCCCGTCCTATCCACTTATTCTCATACACTCCGTTTAAATACATCCTAGCCAAAATAGAAAAATGTGCTGGGGCGCCATCGTGCATAAACCAAATTTGATTTCTCAACAAAAGAGGCACGTTTTCGAGTAACAAAGGCAATTCGTGTTGCAAAAAATGTCTTTAGAAGCGACCATTGAGTCGACCAGGCAAAAAGAAAGGACCAATCAAATAATCCCGTAGTATACCAGCCCATACATTTAATGAAAATTGCTCTTGAAAATGTGCTTCTACAATTCCATGTGGATTTTCTTGTGCCCATATGTGGTTGTTATGAAAATTAATAATGGAATTCCTTGAAAAATTGGCTTCGTCAGTAAAAATGATTTTACAGTCAAAATCGGGGTCATCTGCTAGTCTATTAAGGTACCACTGGCAGAAATTGATCCTTTAAGGGAAATCTCGAGGAAGAAGCGCCTGCACTCTTTGAATATGGTAAGGGTAGACTCGCGCAATATTCTCCAAATAACCTGATGACTAATATTTAAATGTTTACCGATTATTCTGGTGCTAGTGTTGGGGTGTTCTTCTCTTTCATTTAGAACAGCTTCTTCGATCTGTGGAGTTCTAACAGTACGTGGTCTACCTCCGTCACATACCTTTTTATTAACACATCCACTTTCTACAAGAAGCCCATGAATATTCGAGAATGTTCTTTGATCAGGTATTACTCTATTGGGATAGCGCTCCATGTACAAACGTCTGGCTTCTCGTGCATTTCCATTCGCAAGACCATAGATATAATTGGTAAAAATTGACATTGTTTGAGATTGTAACGAGTAATTGAAAAAATTAATTTTATACCGTACAGTGTCAAACTAAAACCTCAAATAGTTGAAACGCAAATCCGAAAAAAACTCCTAAAGAAAACAAAACATTTATTTTGTAGGAATCGCCTTTATTACTCGAACACTTGCCTCTTTTGTTGAGAAATTTGATTTATGCACGACAGCACTCCAGCATATTTTTCTATTTTGTCTCGGAAGTGTTTACATGAAGTGTATGAGAACAACTGAATAGAGGTTTTTGTATTGTAAAATAAAACATTTTTACAAAAAATCTTTAATTTTTTTCTCGATAACGGTCGCAGAAACGAAAAGAGTTTCTGAACAAAAAAAGTTTCCAAATGAAACGGAAAATTCATTTTGTATTTTAGAATCTACCAGCGGCGCACAGTAAAAAAGTTCAGGGGGAGAAAATAGAACATGACTCCTGAAAAAATATCACCATGTAGAATCAACAACCATCTGACAAAACCCACTAATGTATGCCCTATAACGCAATCTAGATTCCAAATTTGAGCTCAATATCTCGAAAACTGCAGGAGCTCCAAAGAAATAACAAGAAAAATCTTGTAATTTCAACACCCTGTAAATCGGTAACGAAGCGTTTGCGGACCTATGTTTATATGAACTTGTAGTTATGAAATAAGCCAAAGAATTACCCCCTTTCGTATGTGCACGATGTTTAGGAACACCCTGTATATACCTGATTTTTTTATTTTTTTATTCTATCTCGTTTGGTTCTGCATTGAACAGAATTTTGGTTAAATTATTATTACTTATGAAAGATGTTGTTACCTTGTATTTAGAGGAAAAATTTCGAATATTTCCTTAAAGTTTACCTAAGTAATTAAAGCTACTATATTTAAATGTATTGTGTTCTCTGATACTCAGGTATAATTTACCCATAAGTGTTTTATGAGTTTCATCTGATATTATCTTCTCTATTAGAGAAACCGGTACCTGATTGTTAACTGCAATTTGTTTAATTAACTTTAGTTTATTCTGGATTTGTTTTCAGAATAAAGGATTGAGAAAGCTCTGAGTATCATTGACCTTGAGGCGATAATTCATGTGAGATTGAACTGAAAGAGTCGAAAGGAATTCTACAGTATGTAAAGGTGTTTTTCCGGTAGATATTGAATTGAAAACTCTTGTAATATTTAAATCTAAGAAGTTAAGCTCCTTGTGCTGTTTGATTTCTAATGTGAATTTAATTTTGCCATGTTGACTATTGGGGAAGTTGAAAGATTGATTAATTTGTCTGTTTGAACCATCAAAGCCCACCAGTATGCCATTAACGTATCTGAACCAAAATACAATATCTACAATTCATGCACATCTATAAGAATCAAAATACAAGATTAGTATAGATAATCTTGAAATCCCACACACTTGTGATAAAGGAAGCTATGAAAATCAATAAATCAATTGAAAACCAGAAATATAAAGCCACAAACGAGCAACTAGATTCATGAAGATCTCCACTCTATAACTTGTACGTTTGACAACCCCGGTAATTTCTATAATCACCAGTGTTGAATTTTATAGTTGGTACCCTTATTCATTCAATTACTTCTCCTTCCAGATTACTTACGAACTTCCTATATAACTTCGTTCTCAGAATTTCCACAAAATAAACAAGTCATCAATTACACAATTACACATTATGATTTATATCATTGTAAATCAATATGGTGAATTAACCAATGCATACATTTATCTATAGAATTGTATGTGTGAATTATATTATATACAATATTGAAAAATACCTTATTTGAATCGTTACACCCTCTTTATATATCCATTAAACTTTTTTTTCTGCGCCATTTTCATTATATATTTTTATTTTCCCAATATCAATAGTTAGGTATCTTATTTCTCAATATTATTCTGACTTGTTTTGATTTTTCTCTAGAATGTTTTATGTTTCAATATTCATAATGAAAAAGAAACAATTCAAATGACTTCTTCTACTGGTTTGTATTAGTATATATCAGATTTTTCATTTGTTTTTTTCATTTGAAGATTATCCCTTTTTCACCTATCGATAGAGAAGTAGACTACCAAAAAAGTTTTTTTTCAATCTGACATCCAAGCAAAGATGCATGTTACGTTGAAAAAACTGATTCACTACCAATAAATATAAACAAAAAAGTTATCTAACTATTCGTTTGATACCTTCAGTTAAAAAAATTGGGTGACTCGTAGATAAAAAATAGAAATACTGTTGAAAATACTATATTATTATGTCAACAAGCAATAACTCAAAAGATCACAGTTTTCTGAACTGATAGGTTATTGGATCATAGGTGAAGACAGGGTCCCTTATCGGTTCAACATTTTCATATTGGAGCCTGGCACTGAACGCCATATTCTTCACATCGTCATTAGTGGCAAATTTCACCTTCTGCAACAACCCACTTGGATGATAGATATAGTAGACACCGCGTTCTTCTCGTTCAAATGCTTCATTTTCTTGTTCATCTATTCCTGATCGAATGTTTATTGTTACTGATTCAGCAGAAGAAGTTGTCGTAGGTACATCAGTGGTAGTGGTCGTAGAGTCAGCTTCTGGTGGACCGTATTCTTGTGAAGGAGGGTCGTATTCTTGGGATGGCGGGCCGTACTCTTGGGATGGCGGGCCGTATTCTTGGGATGGCTCGGGAAGCCGAAACTGTGGTCCAGAGGGTCTCCATCCCGATGGGGGATAGGGCGCACTTTCCAGATTTTGAAACTGTTCCAAGAATCTGGCGTTAGATTTCGGAGCTTCTCCATTCACAAGAGAGACTAAAAGAACACATAGTAGGATATATGAAATCATTTTACTATTGATAGAAAACTGCTGATGCACTTTTCTGTTCTTAACCTTTTATACAATCGATAATTTTTATTTTACTGAATAACTCTGTCATGAAAACGGCAATGACCTGTAATTGTTTTGGCTGATTAGATATTCCAGACACTCATTCTGAAAGGCTAGATTATTCGATTGATATATTCAACGAGGTAGCTTCAAGTTTGAATTTATAATATGAATGACTGATGTATTCGATTTCGATTTTAAACCATCTTTACTTTGAACATTTTCTTGTCACATAACGAGTACTTTGTGAATTGCTTTTGAAAGTGAAATATATTCTAAACTAATATAGATGCAAATCGTTACAAAAGTGATTGATATAAATTAACTTCATATCTATTTTAGTTTTCTATCAGGGTTTGATCTAAGAAATCAATATTATTTTTTGAAGTTATACTCCTTTTGGCACGTTAGGGAAAAATGGTGAGAGTAATATGGATAAGAAGACAGATTTATAGACGGCAGAATGATTAAAATGTAGACACAACATTGATAGATGTAGAAACCAAAAAAAATATTTCAGGAAAGTAGAGACAAACACAAATAATTTACATCGAAAATAATATATAATTTTTTGAAAATAGAAAAACCACCTGCTGTTCCTTGACGAGGACCATGTGGAAATATCAAACTTGAGGTTGACACATGACATATAATCAATTCGTACATGTGTAGTACCAGCCAATGACAAAGTTTAAGTTGACAGTTGAAATTGACATTTGACATCAACAAATATATGATCTGTGACCCGAATCATAGCCCTGTTGCCAAATATATTAGGTGTTGCTTGGCTGTGGCAACCAAATACTTACATATTTTACATCAGAAATTCAATTATAATCTATTTAGCCATCTATTCAATACACGTCAGTGATATGATTTCAGAACTTATTTGCTGTTCTACAGGAAAAGCGATATTTTTCTATCTAAATAAGGTTGCTACTTTTACGTAGAGTTCACCGTCTGGAATCTTACGGAATTTCTCTTTTAAGTTTTTATTGAATTTGATATTTCTTTTGGTTTTAATGAATTATTTTATTCTTTCATTGGTGATAGATATTGTTCAATTTTTAATGTTATATGTATTTCATTTATAAATAATTTTGAAAGTTCAGAACTTCATATCGTTTTGCTCTTAATTCTGTAAACTTTCTTGCCGTACTGTAGACACATTTGTATATTTTTCCTTTGCTTTTGTATTATTTAAAAAACATTCAATAGAGAGGTATTTTTTAGGGTTAAGTGGAAGAACAGTTCAGTTGTTGAATTTATTCAGGAACTAAATTTCAAAAAATTTCTGTTGGTGTATTTCCTCAATTTTGTTTTTTGTACATATTTTTTGAAAATAATAGAGTCGAAGAAAGTAGAAGAAATTCTAAAAACCCACGGCTTTCAAACTCGAAAAGCAGCGGCACTGAAAGTCGATTATTATTATTATTATTATTATTATATGATTACACTTGAAAGCTAAGTACGTGTATACATCATAAACTGAAATGAAAATCACATTTTTATTCAATTTGTGATCAGTTTACAAATGAATTAATAATAAATACAAATGATAAATATTAGGGTGAAGAAAAATTTAATTATTCCAAATATTGAATTGAATAAATGATTCTTTCTTGAAGTAATCTTGAAATTTTGAAGGATAAAATGTATCGTCAGGTTGTCACCTACACATTAGAACATGACGATCGTATCAAAATACATCTTATTAAACATTTGGAATACATGAATACATTTAAACGAATAATGAAATGAATCAAAGCGAGATATAATTGAAAAAAAAACGAAGTATTTTAAAAATGTCGACCATATTTTCTGAAAATGCCATCATTGAAGTGGAATATGTTCTGTATTTTTTTCGAAGCTTATGTTTCAAAATGATAAAAAAATCAGATTGGATGAACGTTTTGAATATTATTCAAAGTGATCAAAAATAATATTCGAATTTGTTAGACATAGATGCGAAGAATGAGCATTTGAACTACACCACTCTTTATGTTATTGGGGTGGATGGAGCAAGTGACAATTATCACCCTCCGAAATTGTGTAATTTGTTCAGAAAGTTCAACGAGCATATAAAAAAGATGCCTTCAATTTGATAATCTCAACAAATTGACCATTAGAGCATTTACAAGTGCTTAAAAGTGCTGTAACTTTCTGCTAGTAAAATTTTAAAGTTCTGAAAGCTCATTATTTCAAGATGAACTCAGTCATGAATGATAAAGAAAGAAGGGGCGAAACGGTGTAACTTCCCTGATTTTCTTCCAGTTACATGATCTGTGGATGTTTCTCCTAGGAGATATCATTGAAAAGGGTAGATAGATGTTCCCTTAATTAGAATTCCAAATTAAATGAAAAAGTGATTGCTTCGTGATATTTTTGTGCATATTATTTATTCATGTTCATCATTGTATCAGCTTGTTAATGTTTTTTATGATTTGAAATATTCTTCTTCAGCTGCTAGTTTATTTTGGGAATTTATCTTTCTGTAATGCATGTTATATGTTGTTTATTGATATTCTCAACGCATACATAAGGTGATATGGATAAACAAGATCAAGGTTGATGCTGACTTGCTGAGTCGACATCCGGCGATACGCAGTTCTTGAAACGACGACATAAACACTCTTTACTTCCTCCGTTCCATTTTAAGATTATGTAAACACGTATCCTACTATAAATACGTCCTGCGTAGCGAAATGAGTTCAATTATAATTGCAGTACGTACATCAAAGTACGTTTATAGTTTCTGTTCGATTGTATCTTAAGGGAACACAGCATTGTTTTCAATTTTCAAAATGAATATTTTTCAAAAACGTATATTTCAAAAGTGAGATATAACATGCATGTCATAACAAATAGATAGTTAGTTGGTATCAGCGCCGCCATTTTGAAACAATGAATACATGCTTTGGGGACATACATGGGATTGTTTCTAAAAAACCTCACCTTCTTGTGAGGTAGGGAAAACATGATGGAACTGGCCTTCTGTGAGAGAAATAGTATACTTCTTTCTCATTCTAGATGCCGGAGAGACGTATACTTACCTCGTGGTGGAACAACGCCTTCCTCATGAGATGATCTCGAGACAGATTCTTCTCTTTCTCTTTCTGCATCGACTATCAGTATAAACTTCGACAGATCTAGTCATCTGAACTGTCCTGCCGTTCCAATTCAACTCTACTTCTTTGTAGTAGTAGAATAGACTCTGGATGAGCCCTACCAACTCGTCGTAAAGACTCAAAAATGAAGTGCATCTCTTAATTAATCTGTTTCATTTTAGGTTAGCCGATATTTTGAATTGAGGCACAAATTCTCCAATACTTTGAAAATGATTCCAGTTGGTGTTCAAATCTCTGTAGAACGTCAAAATCCAATCATTTTCACACATGATATTAACAAGTTGGATAAAACCCTTTCTGAATTATTATTCAAACGAAGTAACGTTTCTGGCGCGAAAACCTTTCTGTGTGTTTTCGAGATGCCACAAGAAAGGAAAATTCTGTCAATGATGACTTGATCAAGATACAGGGGATAACTTTATCGAGTCTATCATCAAAAAAAAGGAGATTCTAGCTTTGGATTGGGAAGACCTGCGACTAATAGTTATGGCTCAAGTATTCAATGTTACTCCTTTCAAACGTGACTGAAGTCCAGAATGGTTTGGTTGAACCAGCAAAAGCTGCTTTATATTTAGGTACGTTATTTTCTTCATGAAACATGCAATTTTGCTTCTGTTTAAAAAAAAAATCTGTTTAAAATCTGTTTTTCCGTTAACCAGCTGTCGCACCCCTACGAACGACAACCCTCAGAAGTCGAAACTTGTGCGAGCTAAGGATTAACGAGGTCTTACCTTTTAACGTGTGATTCCTAACCGGTAGCAAGTGAAGATCGATCGTTCAGACTAGGGCTTGAACCACCGACCAACACGGCAGTCAATTCGAGTGAGTGAACAAAGCACCCACGCCGAACCGCTTGGCTACCGACTGACCAATTGTGTCCTCAATTCTATTGAATTGTACGTACAATTTACTTACTTTTGGTTATTTACTGTGTGAATGAAATTTAGCAAAATTACATACAACTCATGTAATGAATACTTAACCATGCTCAATATTTTGCCATGTTGGTGATAGATGACTGGAAAATGCTGTGATATGGAATCATCCTTTATAACTCAATATATTTCATGTTTCCCATTTTATTGATCAAATGTAGATCAATTTTATGCCTCACTACACTCACATTGTTGCAACATGAGCTGGTAAATGATGTGAATGAGATACATGTTTTTTGTAACAAAATATAACACTCATTATATATTTTTCATCAGCTCACAAAACGTTAAATGAAGCATCAAAGTTGTAAATATAGTAACTAAGAGTTAACTCGCAATTATATTTGAATATAATAAAATTGTATCTTCATCATGATGTCAGAATGAAGCCAGTTTACACTATCTTTGGTGAATTATTATCCTATCGTAAATTATCTCTGGAATCTTAATGACTTTGAACTTCCTCGCCTGCTAATATACTCTCTGCTTTTCGTGAAAATTGGTGTGAGTTATAGCAAGTCATGTTGATATCTTACACTTCGTTATGAAATATATTTTTAGCTCTACAGTATACTATCTCTCCTTAGAATTATGCTATATATGGGATCGATTCAATCTACGAATATAAAAGATAAACAATAAGGCTTCTATAGATAGACAGTTGCAAAGCCGAATGAGATTCGTCATTTGTCTGGTACTTCAGGACTAGGCTTTGGTGTCAACCTGTTGTCTTGCAGTGTTGGATGATGTCCAAGCTTGGTTCTGCAACTATTTGTTTTGGAGAGTCTCCAAATTGAAAGGGCAAATACAGTATTCGTTTGGTTTTGGAACCATCTTCCTTGGCATTTATTCAAAACATACTTATAACCCCGTCTTTTTTCCCTTCGCTTCTGCA